CCTGTGTGCACAGAGGTTTGATGTGACAACTTGATAGACCACATAAGGGTTTCAGCAAAGGCCTCCCAACCCCCCACTCACCCGGCATTAAGATAATGGCCAGATAATGGCCGGGTGTGCATCCTAGCCCATTTCAGATCTTGGCTCCAAAGGCCCTTTCTCCTGTTTTCTCCCTCCAGCTCCGCTTGCCCACAGGTTCCCAGAGACTCTTGGCAGCTCGCTCTCAGGCAGAATGAAGTTGTGAGTTGCGTGGGAGGCAGTTAGACAAGCAAGTGTTGCAGCCTCCTTAATGAGGGACAATAGCTCTTGGAGCCATGAAACCACAGCTCCAGAGATGGGGAACCCCAATTAGAAAGAGTGGGAGAAATCAAGAGAAGGGCCTGAGAGACGCCTGCAGGACAGATCCGTATCTCTGGTGGCACTGTGGGACCCGGTTGTGGAGAACCAGCTGACTGGGTTTGGATCCCTTTTGGTCCCAGTGTTTGGAGAGCCCACCCGTGGAGTGACCCTTCCGAATGCACAGGTGAAATCATTGCGGAGAGGAGTTTCCCCTTGAGTATAATGACTCAGGTACTATAATTCAAAAATAAGAATGGCGCTGCTATTTCTTCCGCTTAGTGGCTATCTGCTGTCTGCATTGCTTCATCCTGTTTGTGAGTCTATGGAGAGTTGCATACAGTCAAGAGCTCGCTCTTGTTCTGGCTTTCAACTGAATCACATTATGTTTACAGCAAGATAATAATCCTGGATTTTCCATGGCTCAGTCTGTCAGAGTATAAGATTAGCTCTTGAATTCATTAACAGTCCTCTCCTTTTAAATGTCAGATAACTTTTTAAATGCCAAGTACTTGCGCAACTTCTGTGCAATTCAAATCAGCTTTACTAAATTAACTCATTAATCTTTATTGTTTCATTTACTGAAGAGAAAGGCTTCCAGGTGTTTTTAGTAGGACATAAAAATGTTAAAGTCTTCTTATTGCACATAGGAGAAGGGATGGGCTTTGATTTTCTGCGGAGCGGTTCACCCTTCCACCACCTAGTAATCATTCCCACTGCCCCGTGCGCATATAAAGGAAAGAAAAAAGCTTCATGCTTCTCTGCTTCTTCTAGTCCCTCCCTTCCCCCAAGCCGCTCCCCTTCTCTTTAACCGGTGTTTTTCTCTCCCTCTATACCTTTTATTCCTGTTTACTATTTATTCTGCTGCCTTTGCTCTCAAAATAACCTAAGAGCTGTAAGTGACAATTAAAATGGCACTGCCACCCAGGAAACAGAGGGGTGTTTGCCCAGGAAGCAGGATAGAACCCAGAAGACTGGGCAAAATAGGGCAAGAAATCCTAAGTTCTACTTTCCTTTTCCCAGCACCACTCACTGCCTACTTTTGCCTCTTGATCACCAGATACAGGGGAGGCTGGCAGCTAAAGATAGATCCTTGCAGGGCCCAAGGACCTTGTCATCCAGTGCTCTGCTCAGATGTCATCTCCTCAGACAGTTTAGCCCATCATAGCCAATGGCAAGCCCCGCCCCACTCCATCAACTTCTATCTCATGATTGTTTCATTGTCTTCATATTTTTGTCACTATCTAAAAATCTCCCATACATGTGTGCTTATTCAAAACAGATAATATTAGTCAATAAATATTATTTGTTTCTTTGGTTTTGGCTTGGGGTGTTCAAGTCTTACTCCTGGTTCTGTGCTTAGTTCTGATGGGAACCATTAAGGACTTACTCCTGGACCTGTGCTCACTAGTGATGGGAACCACATGTGATGCGAGGGAATGAACTAGTGTTCACGTGCATGGCAAACATTTCACCCCTGTACTAGCTCCCCAGATAATAAATGTGAGTTTAAATAATAAATTTTAAAAACACCCTGAAACATGACTTTCTTTACTGATTTTAACTTTCTGATTTTTCTCTTCATCACTTCCTCTCAGAATCTTCCTTATATGCTTAACCTTTTCTTTATGTTCTTTTCTTTTTATATGTGTTTTACCTTTTCTCCATCTCTCACTACCACTTCCTCATGAGTATATGTCAACATATAAGCAAAAACAGCGCTTCAAATTCTAGGAACTAAAGAATTTTCATTAAAAAACAATTCATCGGACTAGAATTGATGGCACGTACACACTAGGGAGACGAGCCATGCCGTCAAGAGAATTGTCTTATCCAAAGGTTTATAGGTCCAGTGATTTGGAGAAGCTTTTCTCGTATCCTCTCAACTCCCCACTCTCCAAACTGAGCCTCACACCAGGAGTTAAAGTCACTCCAGCTGTTGGAATTGGTCTTGGCGATGCCTTTTGTCCTTCTAGTCTCGCCTAACACAAAATCTTCCCATGGGGGTAATGGAGAAATGTCTGATTGATGGAGAATTGTCTGATTTCATCCAGTGATTCATGCATGATTTTGGAAGCTAAAAAGCTTGAAATGTTTTGTCTGATTGTAGCTTGGATGAAATACTTTCATTTGATCTAGAAATGGGGAGGCGCTGTCTCATGCTGAGCAGCTCATCAGATATATGGCTGATGTGACCCAAATCTTGGAGATGTGTTTGTCCAGAAAAACCTCTATCCATATTTCATAACAAAGGAAAAGGGTGTGGGTGTTCAGTGGAATGATTGCAGATTGCAGAGACCCACCGTCTATTAATTCATCATTAATACTTAAAAAAAAAAACCCTTAAAAGCAATATAAATGTTATGGGAGGGAGAATTTATGATGGCCCAGGGAGACAGACATCCAAGAGCTAATCTCATAGAAAATATGGAAATGATCAAACCCACACCCAGGGTGATCTCATGGCACACTAATGTATGTGACCCTAGCACATCAGAAAAATCAGTAAGTTGACTCTCAGGGAAGAGCCAGTACTCTTTACAGTCAGGCCTCCGAGGTCAGCACATCATTCTTGTAAAGAGAAATGCCTGACACCCTGGCTCCCCACCCCAGTCCCTACTCTAATGGAAGTGCTGTGAGAGGTAGCTTACCCCAGATATGGTCAGATCTCTTGTTCAACAACCGTGAAGTGTGTGTGTGTGTGTGTGTGTGTGTGTGTGTGTGTGTGTTTCTAGACCCATGCCAGGCACAGCTGTTGCAAGGGTAACAGGACCATCTTGGTTTCTGTCCTGATGGAGCTGACTGACAGTGTATTGGCAACAAGAGGTAGCAACTCAGCCATGAGCAATGAACAATAATGGGAAAGTACTTAAGCTTGGGGATACCATGGGAGGTAAGAGGAATGAGAAAAAACTAGAAAAGGAGTGTGTTCCCAGGAGAGGAAGGGCAAGTAGGAAAGTCTTGCTCCAGGAAGGGTAAGGTCAGTGTTAATGGTAACCCTTTGTACTTGCTGTTCCACAGTAAGGTCAACACTCCCCACAGAACCTTTCCTCTCTTTGTACAGAGCTTTGCTTAAGCATGGCTTTCTGTGGAGCCACCCCCAAACACCCTGCTGAAACTTCCAACACCTCACTCTCTTCGCTGCTTTACTTTTCCCACTTACCATAAATCCCTGTTCAAACATAACTTATGTTTCACTCGCTTGTTTCTTATCACCTCTTTCCACTTTGTGGAACATTTGTATAGTTGTCACGAAGACACACAGACTTCTGTGTGCCTCTTGTGCTGCCGTTTTCCACTCTCCAGGCACAGAAAAGACACTTGATAAATACATATAGAATAATTGAATGAAGCAAGAGAGATGGTCCAGAGTCAAGCAAGGAGGGACATAGAAACCTTTTAAGCAGGTTGGCTGACATCCTGCCTGGAATGGCCTTTGAAGATTTTCAACAGAGAGGTGATATGGTCCAGTTTCATCTCAAAAAGATCACTCCAGCTGCCGAATGGGGGTCTGGGTTGGAAAGCAGCCTCAGATCACACTTGGCAGCGCCCTAAAACATGACCTCATCTGCAGGTTGAGGGGGCAGGAGAGATTTTGACAGGAGAGCAGGTACCCATCCAGACTCCTCTCTCATAGTGCCCTCTTCCCTCTCTCCTAGGTTGGTTGTTTCATGTCAAGTACAGCTTTGTCTGGGAAAAAAATCAGAATATTGCTTAATTTGCTACAAGACACATTTGATAGTCATTCACAGAAGCTTTAGGATTACCAAAAAGATCTCTTTTAAAAGGAGTCTTGAACACTGTGGTGGGTCCAGTGCTGCAATATTGTATGTCTAAACCTCAATTATAAATAATTTTGTAAATCACTAATTAAAAAATAAAATAGAATAAAATTTTTAGAAGGAGTCTTGAGGGTGAAAGAAATAGTACTGGGATTAAGGTTCTTGCCTTACATGCGCTGACCCTGGTTCAGAGCCATTGAACCAAGAAAGTATGGTCCTAGAGATCTGCCAGACTTCACTCTTGAGCATAGATCCAGGAATAGACCCTAAGCACCAGTAGGTATAGCTTTAAAAAAATAAATAAAATAAAACAAAACAAAAAGGAGTCTTGAATACACAGTGATTTCAACAGTTGCTACTTGCCACCTGTATGGCTTTGGGCAAGTACTTCACTAGCCCAGAGCTCCTAGTTTCTCATCTGTGAGATGGAAATATCAATACCCGCCTCACTTCTGTTATGAAAACTGAGAGGATTAAAACCTCAAAACATAGTTTTCTTTTGTCACTTGCCCATTATATTCACCCCAGGAATGAATTCACGCCCAGTCTTGATTGTTCTCTACACATGAATCATCTGTGCTGCCAATAATAAGAATGGATGTTAAGGCCAGGAGCAGAGTCCATGCCTACTATGAATTCAATCCCTGGCACTCTGTGTCCATCCCCAGCACCACTAGGCATGGCCCTGGTTTCTCATGCCCCACCATCTGGATTACCTCCGGCTGCTGGGAGTGTGTCCTATTTGGAGACAATAAATTAATTAAAAGGTGCTGCTATTTGCATTCCAACACTGAAAAATTGCTTTCTATAAATATTTGGGAATCTGGACTAGCCCTTGTGTATCATTCCTCTGAATGTTGGGCTTTCTGCTTCTCTTCACAGAGTGCCCAGCAGTCCTTGAAGGCAGCAGCTCAGAAGACAGGAGAACCTCAAAATTGTATAAATAACGGGATGATATGTTCAAACAGAAAAGAATTTTACACACGCAAGCTGCACATCGACATGACGCCGTTCCTGAAGGTGATTTCACACTGGGAAGATGAGGGTTTTGTAGATACATACACAGGCATTCTAGTTAATACACTTCTGCCTGGTACAAAACAGCTTCAGAAGTCCCTCGGAGCTCCTGCTTTATCATAAGGGACAGAAAATAGGCAGTTTGTAGCCGATGAAGAAAGGACAAACTAGGACAGTAATCACAGCTGGCCATCGGGGACAAATCTGTTGGGTGCCTGGTTTGGGTGAGGGAGAAAAGAGAAAAGAGAGAAGAAAGGATAACCACTTCATAAAACAGGCAAACAAAATTTATTTTACCTTAACCAGGGGCTAAAATAATTGTTATTGATTTATCACAGTAACTTGGTAGAGTTGATATTCTTACTCTAGAGAAGATCAGGTGAGTTAACATTGGAAGTCCATTGCAACTTTGCTCCTGGATCCCTGACCTTGTCTTCTATTTCCTGAGAGTTCATTACTCTGCCAAGACCCACTTCCTATCTAATAGAGGGGACTGAGACTTCCTGCAGTGGGGATGGCATATGCTCATCTTTGCAATCCTCCACCCTGCCCCTACACGATCTAAAACCATGCCCAGAGAAGGCAAACCAAGCACTCCAGGACTGCCTCACACTTTCACCCAAAAGTCCTGTAGCCTCGGGCCCTCTTCCAACTCTTTTTTTTTTTTTTTTGCCTCTTTAGCGATGAATGAATGTGAACTCAATAACCCTGGCATAAAAGACACCATCCAGAAATAGAGCAAGGTTCGCAGGGAGATCTCAGATCTTTTATACTGCCCTGGAGGACCACAGCCCACTCTCTTGATAAGAACTACTAGGAGAAACAGACACAGAGTGGAACAAACTGCATCCCTGAGGGATTTATAATGATGTGCATCCAACATGGAGGGACTTCAGAGATCAGGAGGTCATCCTTCTAACCTCAGTCAACCCAGAGGTTTTCCAGCAACACCTTCTCTGAGTGGTCCCTGTCCCAAGCCTGAAAGTGGTCTCTGATTTGGAGCCATGACTATCTCTCTTTATGTCTGGGTTCTGCTTTCTTAGGCTTTTTGTTAGACTCTTGCTACATGTTGGCAGATGGAGAGTATTCAGGAACTGAATCTCATTGGCTTGCTTTGAGATGTCAGACCAAATCATTCATCCATCAAGGCAGGATGTTGGGAGACACTACGAGGCCCAGCTGAAGTCACAGGGACTAAGGTGGGACGAGGGAAGATGTATCAGAGAGAGAAACATGGCTCTTGAAAACAGAAGGAAAAGGAATAATTCTGGGAAGCATGTTTGTTTAAAGTATTCAAATTAATTACATTGATCATATCAGTGTGCCAGGGCAAGAACAAACTACCTCAGACCAGGTGGCTTAAACCACAGAAATGTATTTTGATATAATTCTGGAGAGTAAAAGTGAAAGACCTGAGATCTTTGTTGTCTGATAGGTAGCCATTTCTTTTAAGGTCTTCACATAGTCCTCTGGACATGTCTGTATCCTAATCACACCTTCTTGTAAATAGACTAGTCACTATCATCAGCCACTTTAATTTTCAGATAAATTTGATGTTTGGGGGCTACACCTGGCAGTGCTCAGGGCCTACTCCTAGCTCTGCACTCAGTAATCAGTCCTGGTGAGACTCAGCAGATCATATGAGGTACCTGAGATTAAACCTGGGTTGGCTGCATGCAAGGCAAGTGCCTTCCCACTGTACTATTGCTCCAGTCCCTCATTTAAATCTTTGAGTCAGCTTGTCCACTTCCAGAAAAAAATAAAAAAAGATACCATCCATATTGGACTAGGACCCCTCCACCCCAGTGATTTCCTTTTAAGAACCTGTCTCCAAATTCAGTTAGTCCCATTCTGAGGTATAAGGAGTAGGGCCTCAACTTGTGAGTTTTAGAGGAAGAAGAATCAGCGTAAACACTTAGTATGGATGAAGAAGTCCTTTTTTTTCTGCCCCTTAGAAATAGTTTAGTTCTTCCCTTAGGGCCTGAAGTCTTATGATTGGTACTTCCTGAGGAAGATAACATCATCATTGTTCAAACACCCTTCATTCATTCAAGCCCTGTTGAGCAGCTTCTATTTACTAAATGGCTGACATTTTCTGAGATCTTGGGATACATCGCAAACAAAATAGACCAAAAGCCGTGCTTAATTCTAAACCAAGAGTAGAGTAAATTAAAAAGTGGTATCTGGGGCTGAAGTGATAGTCCAATGGGGAGAGCATTTACCTTGCATTCAGCCAACCTGGGTTCAGTTCCCAGTGCCGGGTGTGACCCAAAGAGCCAAAAATTTTTTTTTAATTTTTTTAAAAAATGGTTATATTTGCTACAGAAATGAGCCATGAATATATAGTTATGGAGCACTTAGATACTGCAAAATTCAGAGTGGTGTTTTATAATCATTCATTTATATATTTAATGTAGATAATGCCTTTGTGTTACTTTTTTTAAATTTTATTCTATTTTTATAAAGTTGTTCACAATAGTTTATTATATTTAACATTCCAACACCAATCTCACCACCATTATACCTTCCCACAACCATATTTCAAATGTTTCCACTCTGACCCCCAAGCCCTTTTTAGGACCTAAATAATTTATTTTGATTGCTTCTTACAAATAATCTGCTAAAAATGATCTAAAAAAGTTTCCGTAGAGGAACATGTGTGAAGATTGCTTTATTTCACCCTGGAGCCATTAAGTCCTTGTATAAGAGATTACTAATATGTTGTTTAAGGTTGAGCCTCGTGTGCTAATATATATATTCTTTTGTCCCCAAGATTTGTTGCCTTCTACTTTACACCCCATCAAATGCGGTGTGCTACTCTTGGTATATCAGGGTGTAGAGTATTGGTGGTTGCATGCTTTGGGAATTCTAAAATTTTAAATACAGTTATACAGCTGAGATTAATTTAATTTTTTTTTAACTGGATGGTGATTTTGGAGTCTAGAGGCATCTCTGAGGAGTGATGCTTTTGGGTTGCTCTACTTCGAGAGATTTATTTGTGAGTCTCTGGATCATGGCTGTTAAGGAGCTTATATTGCACCAGACACAGTTCGTGGGCATGACTGCCAGGCTACCGGTAGCACAGGGATTTGGGAGGAGGTCACCCATTCCCGACTCCATTCGAGCCTTTCAGTCTTTGTGTTACTTTTATTGTGCACCACTTTTGTCTAAACCAAGACTCAGGGGTTATTCCTGGCTCTGTACTCAGAAATTATACCTGGTGGTGCTCAGGGGACCATACTGGGTACCAGAGATTAAACACAGGCCAGCGCATGCAAAGCTAGTACCCTGCCCTCAATGCTATCTCTGTAGCCCCCCATTTTTTTTGCTTTTTGGGTCATACCCAGCGATGCTCAGGGGTTACTCCTGGCTCTGCACTCAGGAATTACTCCTGACAGTGCTTGGGGGACCATATGGGATGCTGGGGATTGAACTTGGGTTGGCCACATGCAAAACACACTACCCACTAGCTGTACTATTGCTCCAGTCCTGTCCCGCATTTTTGTCAGCATATTTTAGAGGGGAAACAGCTCACCCCTAAAATCCATTTTGTGACCTATTCTTTTCAAGACATTGTGACTCAAAGAAATTGTAACTTTTCAGGGAATTCAGAGAAGATAGGAGACTTGCTGACTCCCAGAGCAGTCTCTGTCCCAGTGACAACTTTTCTTGGGAATGTTCAATGTGAATAGTTCTCTGTTAGCTGACATTCTCCTTGTTAATTTAGAGAATTCTTACAGGTTGCCTAGTAGTAAAAACACAAATCTCAAGTGTCATAGAAAAGGACAGTGAATTCAAGCAGTACAAAAGAACCTAGGCTGGGGCTGGAGCAATAACACAACCAGTAGAGCATTTACCTTGTATGCAGCTGAACTGGGTTCGATTCCCAGCATCCCATATGGTCCCCCGAGCATTGCCAGGAGTAATTCCTGAGTGCATGAGCCAGGAGTAACCCCTGTGCATCGCCAGGTGTGACCCAAAAAGAAAAAAAAAAAGGACCTGGGCTGTCCACAGCTTCTGGAGCTATTGAGAAGACAACTCATTATATTGAAGTTTCATTCAAGCATTTCCTTCTTCTCCACGGTATCTTTTATTCATTTTTACCTGATGCATATCAGAATCTTTCTACATTTCAGGGAATGATGATAAGTGACCAGAAAAATTAGAGCAGCAAATGGAAAGACTTGCAAATAATCACAATTACTCACATGATTAAGCACTTCCTTTATGCTGGGCTTCAAGTTTTAAGTGGAACAACTAAGTTCACAAAATGAATCTAAGTAGGAAAAATTATTCCATACAGATGAGAATCTAAGGTGTTGCAAAGACAAATGACCTTCTGGAGGTCACTGGCAGAAACCGGATTTAAAAGTCAGGCAGCCAAGCACTAGAGCCCATGCTCTCAACCCTCTGCCATAAAGCTTCACTACCCTCTCCAACTGAGTGCTAGCCAATAATAAAACACTGCCTGATATACTAGCCAAGTATCCAGCCTAGATGGGTACTGGAAAATTCCATCCCTGGCCACTCTTACTCTTTACTGCAGGAAGGTTTTTCAACCCTGCAGAACTCTTGACCCTTATTCTCACCTACTTTCTGTGGAGCCAAAATAAAAATTCTTATCCCCTCAATGATCACTTGGTTCCCTTCAAACACCATTTTGAGCAGCCTGAATACATCAGACTCTGTGCTAAGTAGTGGGAATTCAGAGTCAATCATCTTCATCTCTGACCTTCCTAAGAGCCAGTAATCTAAGAGGATAAACAGTGAAACGGATCCTATCAGCACAGAGCTGTGGCGGGGCCAATTTCTCAGTTATCACACAGAATCATCAAAGTTAATAACACTATAGGAAGTGCTTTCAGCCCATTTTATAGGACTATAACAGGCTTGGGTTTGGGGAAACATGGGTTGACATAAAACTGAAGTCATGTTTTTAAAAATTCTACCGAATGTAACCTGCCCACACGGCAGAGTCTCGCAAACTCCCTGTGGTGTACCCA